TTTTTAGTAATGTTCACCAAAGAAAAACCTTTAAAACAACAAAGCTTTGTTTCATCCTTTCACTAAAAGGACATTTAAAATCTGTATTAGATTTTAATTTTGTATGCTTGCTCATTAGATGTTTTACCTTTTGGATAGTTAGTTTTTGCTTTATGAATAGGATAAATTATGTTTGGAGAGTTATGCCTATCTGGAACATTTCCACTACACTGTATAGTGATTGTGGAACTCACTTTAGTAGACAAATATTTAAATCTTTTATAAAACTTGCCTTTTTTAGATTAACAACAAATACTATTGTAAAATACTTTTAAATATAATAACTAAAATTCTAATTGTTACATTCTCAAAGGATGAACACAACACTACTTAATAAACTAATAGAAAGAAGACATAAAGTAAAAGCCTTCTTTCTGATTAAGTGATCAGGACTGTACTTCTCACTCTCTCCTGGAACATTAAAATTCGAGGAGGTGAACTTTCTCACATAGTCTGAGAACACTTTCATAGAGACGTGGGAAATGCTGACTAATAGATAACCATCTTCAAAGTCATCCACAGCTGAGTACCACAACTACTAAACATTTCTCTCAGTTTTATATTTCTTAAATACTTTATAATTAAAAAAAAATTAAATTGTTCATATTTAATATTCTACATGGTATATTTCTAAGTGATAAAATAATACTAATTTTGTTTTTAATGATGTCACAATGAAAATATTTCTTTTTATTAATCAAGGTTTTTTCTTATGATCATTTGCTTATCCTTAGCACATACCTTAATCGAAATCAGGTTTAATGTTTAAAAGATTCAAGTGTTTTCACTGTCTCATATATATGTGTGTGCATATGTATGTGTTAATTATTTAGTATAGTCTGATAAAACAAAATATCTAGGTTTTAATTTAACTTTAAATCCTTTTACTCTAGCTAGAGTTCTTGTTCAAATTATACAAGAGCCATCAATCTCTAATAACTAACATTCATAATTTTTCATACTTTAAGTACTGACATTTCTTGATTAAATTAATAGCTAAGGTGTACTATAACACAGCCATGATTAAAAATAATGAAACAATATTTGTATTTTACTAATTTTTAAAAAAGTACATCATTACAGTGACTCCTTGCAGAGTCCCATTTCTACCCATTTAAATGTAAGTAGGATCACTCATAGAGTACAGATAACTATCAATACAGGGGAAAACACATAGCTAATCTAGTTTAAAAGATATGTGCATTTTTGTTGTTGTAAATCCATGTTTCCTTCATCACTGCATTAGGTCAAACCATGTTCTTGATTATTTTAACTTTAGGTAACATAATCCCTATTATATGTCATACGTAAATGTTATGTCAGATGCAGATGGCCTACCTATAGGAAAAAAAAAAAAAAGAAAAAAGAAAGATCAAGATCATGATGGCTAATAGTTTCATTATGATCTAGGAGTTTCTTTCTTATGGCTTTTACAAGCTATTCTTCTCTCCTGAAGACTTGTCCTGCCCACTACTTAGCCTTATCTACATCAGATCCTAAAAATGAACTTGCCACAAGGGACCTTATAATATTTAACAAATAACATGCAGCCCTCAGGATGCACAAAATATGATTCTTGAACAAAGGGAGGAACTGTCAATGAGAATTCCTGGAAAGAAGCTGTGTCTGCAAAGACTGGTGGACGAATTAGAACCACAGTCATATGGAGAGGTCGGAAAGTTTTCACTCAGGCCAGTCATCTCATCTTGAACTAGCTTTGGCCTCCTGAATAGGCTACTTCTGTGTCTGAACTAACAGACTAATAGATTAAAAAAAAAATTGAAGTCTATTTACTTAGCAGACCACTAGCTTTCATTAGTCCAAATGCTAAGACTGATGTCAAATAATATTTGAAATCAATAAAAAAGCACATCCCCCCATCTTGTAACCACTCCTCAGATGTACTCATCAATCTAGGAGTTAAGACTTCCTTTTTTTGTAAAGCTATAAAGGATCAAGAAAATGCTTATATGTTGGGATGTGAAATTTGGGGTAACCTAAATTTGTGTTCACAGGCCATTGTCACTCAAATTTGGCTCTAGAATAAACTATCCCATGTTCCATTTAAGGTAAGATCTGTTGTGTCATGTCATTCCTACCCCACTCCACAAAAATAAAACCAAACAACAACAACCTATCCAATCAGTGTTTTTAAGGTAACCAGAAGAGAAAGAACAGTAGTGATTAAGCCTTGACAAGCCTGAGAGTATACCCTGAAGAGCCTGGAACTCAGTATTCTTGCTTCTTGCAGAAAGAGTCTCAACAATAAGCAATGTGCTTAAGTTCTAAATCCTACAAAATATAGATTTCCACATCATTGCCAAACTACTATTAAAATCCTCACATGTCACAGAGAAGGAAGAAAATCTGATTTCACTGTTTGACAACTCAGCTTATTTTTAAGTCTTCATGACATATTCTAGTTCCTCTGAATCGCACAATAGTTCTATGTACTTGCTATTTAAAAACAGAGATTGATTTATTACTAATAGTTTCCAAGTCTAAATACAGGTGATGAATGTTTTTAGTAGATACCATTACGATGCTAATCTTTCTTGCTTTGGTCCAAAGCAGGGACAAAAATGAAGGTGAGAATCTTCTGCTAGATATGAACCCTCATTAGTTCCAGTGTGAGTGGAGAGTATTCAATTAACTTCCTGATAACCTTTTCATACGCTTGTGTTATATTTAATATTTAAAATGAATAAATATAAAGGTGAATAACTACAATTAAGGATCATCAGGTGATAAACTTCTAGGAAAATAACCTATGCATAACTAAAGTACAGATACATTTATAATTTTAAACTATCGTACTTTAAATGAATACAAGGAAAAAAACTCCCCACAAAATGAGTGGCAATGGCAGAGAGCAAGAGAAAAAAATATTCCTGTCCACAGATTATTTGGAAATGTAAATTGTTGATACTGTATTATTTTTGCTTTACTTTTGTTCTGGATATCTAAAACAAAACAAAAGAAAACAAAAAACCAAAAAACAACCACAAAAACAAGACAAAACAAAATGATGACTTCATTTCAGTCTTATGTCTTAGTAAAACCCTAAGACAAATGTCTCTGGTGCTCAAGTACCTTCCCCAAGTAGGAAGCCAGGGGGCAATTTTAATTTTTATCATTATGCCCCAGTATAGAGACTTCCCCAGGACCCTTGAGACAAAATTAGTGAAGATCTGCTCAAGCCCTGAAAGCCAGCTGAAGCTACCAGGTATTTAGTGCTCTAGAGAATTATGTCCAATAAGTAAGCAGGATTCTGAGAAACAGAAGTCAAACACTATGTTAGAGACGTGCTGGGACAGAGATGTATGGGATGCTCTGTGCTTGCTAGCCTGTTCTTGGCTGCCCTTCCACAGTCAGAGCTGTACAACTGTCATTTTTGTGTTTCTCAAGCACTCTACACAAACTCTCCACCCAGTCAGATCATTACAAAGCAAAGATCTACTGGAAAAGATGGTGCTATTAGAAGCTTTAGTTTGCTGTGTATTTATTGTCTTCCCTGATAGTAAACTGACCCTCTAGAACAAATGCTTTCTGGTTTGCTGAGTCTCTGATAGAGTGAATTAAACAGTCACTTAGTATCTTTTTATCAAGTGTCTATTTGTATCCCGAAGCTGAGTATTTACAATTCAACAAGTTGAGGCCTTGACCTCATGGTCCTGCTGAAGACAAAAAACAATCGTTCATGATGTATCCATTCACTAGCAAATGTTCAAATACAAACATTGTTTTGGGAACCTGGAACGAAGAATTCAAGTTTTAAGATTTCTCTATCTTATCTCCTAACTCATCACATGGAAATAAGTACTGAAAACCATCCTCCCATAATATCAAGTCTTTATTTTGCTTCTTCTACCCTGAATAAAAACAATGCTGGCCCCACTTGAGGGTTCAGCATATCAATACATGTCAAGATATAACCCCTGCCCCCTTTATACAGATTCTAGGAAACTCCTTTCTTTAAGTTTTTTTGGAGTTTAGGATGCCACTAACTTTTTGGTTATATGCTCCTCTATATAGCATTTAATGATCTCTGCTATGTATAAAATGTGTCTACTCAGCATTTCTGGCCATGCTACACAGAATGTCTGCACTGCCAGTGTCAACATCCACAGCCTGCTAGGGAACAAGTAGAGGCTGCCTGGGTCCTCAGACTGCAAGGACCAGCTTTTGCTTGGATTAAGAAACACAACACTAAACTGGGCATGGTGCCCACACCCTTAATCCCAGCACTTGGAAGCTAGAGGCAGGCAGATCTCTGAGGCCAGCCTGGTCTACAAAGTGAGTTCCAATCAGGACTACACAGAGAAACCCTGACTGGAAAAAAGGGAAAACAAAACTCAACAAATGCACCACACTTCTACTTCATATGTGGATTTGAATTGTAGGAACCCAAATGGTCTCACCCTTAATGTTTCAGTTTGGTCAGTCTGTCTAGTGAAGGCACTCACCACTCTTGTCCACTAGGCTTCACTGACCCTCACTTCCCATTGTCCAAGTCTTGCTATCCTGAGGAAAAAGTTGATGAGACCAGAAGAATAGAGTTGAGTTTCCAGATAACCTCCATTTCCTTTGTTTTGGAGAACACAGGGGCCCCAACTCTCATTTGCTTCTCATAAACTGAGGAATATATTTAAATTCATTAATATTCACTGCAGTTCCTTGAATGCCGTGGGTGGTAGATCATTAGTATTAAGCTAAAACAGACAACCTTCAGGCAATTTACAGACAGGTTGTCATTCTGCTTAGACTGGCCAGAACTCTAGCAAGAGAGGTTTGACTCTCAGATTTCCTAACTTTCCTAACTCCAGGGAGCCTACAGACTTGGCAATAAACTTAAGATCTCAAACCAATTTTTCCTAGCTAAAGCCTGCAACAAATCAAGGTTGGGATAAAGACTTTCTGCTATTCTAATTTGCTCAACTCTTTCTCTGACACAGTGGGGGCTCTGAAAAGAGCCTTTGGATTTGGAAGTTTCCGAAGTTATGATGGCTGGTTGTCAAATTACTTTCCCTTGGCCTTGTGGTGGCTCTCGGTCTTCTTGGGCAGCAGCACCGCTTGGATGTTGGGCAGGACGCCGCCCTGCGCGATGGTCACGCGTCCCAGGAGCTTGTTGAGCTCCTCGTCGTTGCGGATGGCCAGCTGCAGGTGGCGCGGGATGATGCGGGTCTTCTTGTTGTCGCGGGCCGCGTTGCCAGCCAGCTCCAGGATCTCGGCCGTCAGGTACTCCAGCACGGCCGCCAGGTACACTGGGGCGCCGGCGCCCACCCGCTCCGAGTAGTTGCCCTTGCGGAGCAGACGGTGCACACGGCCGACGGGAAACTGCAGGCCGGCCCGGGAGGAGCGGGTCTTCGCCTTAGCGCGAGCCTTGCCGCCCTGCTTGCCACGTCCAGACATGATAACGATATAGTAAAAACAGCAAAAAACCACCAAAGTCCTCCGCTTCAAAAGGTATGGCTGCTTTTATAGTCGGTTCCTGGATAGTAAAAGCAACTATTTGATTGGTTACAAGATGGCTCAGAGATGTAGCCAATAGAAAATCTGTGTCTCAAAACCTCATTTGCATAATTCCGCCCACGAAGCCACCGCTTTTTCTTCTTCCAATTAGCTAAGTATCATTCGAAATCCCTCATTAGCATAAACGCCCTATAAGTAGGAGAAGTCCAATTCCAACCCACACTGAGCTTCCGGTGTTTAGAGATTCTAAGATGCCTGAGCCAGCCAAGTCCGCTCCCGCCCCGAAGAAGGGCTCCAAGAAGGCCGTGACCAAGGCCCAGAAGAAGGACGGCAAGAAGCGCAAGCGCAGCCGCAAGGAGAGCTACTCGGTGTACGTGTACAAGGTGCTGAAGCAGGTTCACCCCGACACCGGCATCTCCTCCAAGGCCATGGGCATCATGAACTCGTTCGTCAACGACATCTTCGAGCGCATCGCGGGCGAGGCTTCTCGCCTGGCGCATTACAACAAGCGCTCGACCATCACGTCCCGGGAGATCCAGACGGCTGTGCGCTTGCTGCTGCCCGGGGAGCTGGCCAAGCATGCGGTGTCCGAGGGCACCAAAGCCGTCACCAAGTACACCAGCTCCAAGTGAAAAGGACGTCCCACGTAAGCCTCTTATTGTGAATTCCAAAGGCTCTTTTCAGAGCCACCCACCTTTTCAAAGAGAGATGTGGCCAAACACTGCATTCAGCTTAATTTTTGGATACAGCTGTGAGGGCACGAAATTTAAACGGTCAAGGCTATGGGAAACATTCATTTAATCCGCCAGTCTTAATCTTTTGTTACTTAGCTACAACTGCTTTGTTAGCTGTGTTTTGACAAATGTTCCGTACGGATTTTTTCCTTTACAGAGCCTTGTGCTAAACGTCATTTCCGGTGTCGGAGGAATGTGGTTATTGCGCAAGGGTGACAGATTAGATTGACAATAAATGGACCGGGTAGTTCCTGTGACTATTGGAGGAGGTTTGCTTTTAAAAACACTGGTTCCAGATGGTTTATTTTTGGGAAGAATCGCCTCACATTTGCTTTCATTTTGAAGTAGCTAAACGGGAAGACCCTGTTTCAAAGGACAGCCTTTTCATATTTCTAGATTACTTTTGGATAGCTTAATAGGGTATAATATGTGGTCTGGAGTCATCAAACTCTCCGGCACGGACAATCGCCGGCCTGAGATTGTGGTGAGAAATGGAAACGCAGATGTAGACATTGGTCACATGTTAGAGCACTTTGGCCAAGCTACTTTCATTTTCATAGTCCCAGTGACATGAACACGTAGAGAGGAGTGAGGGGGAGAACCGAAGCAGTCAGTGAGGGTGAACTGGAAGGAAGCCAAAGATTTGAGCAAGAAATGCCGAAATGAAAGCCATTGCTATGAATGTTGACCTAATTCATAATTGAAGGAAAAGAAATTTCAGAGTCCTCAGAGGGTTTTTTTTTTTTTTTTTTTTGCTTGTCCGTATGAAGGGCTAATGTCATTTCCATCCTAACTGCTCACTGAAGAATTTTGGCCGTGTAAGTATTGGCAGTACTCAAGTTATGCTCTTCTTCGAACCCCCCCCCAATATATATATATATATATATATATATATGACAACACATTTCTATTCATCTCCTACACTATTTCTAGAAGCTGTGCTAGATAGATACTCTATGTCTACATTATAAGCCAGTAGTGTGGGGAAGGCCTCAGCCTTTTGGAGCTTCCGTCTCCTCCTCCAAGCTGCAGCTTTGTTCTTGCATAGCTCTCCTGCTTTTTCTGGTTCTATACTATAATATTTAACTTAGAAGTTAACAAAATATGAGACATTGAAGTGTTTGTTGCTGCCTAGGGGCCTAGTCCCCAGCAGGCTCTCAGCAGGTCACATAACACAGACACACACAGGAGGCTTTTTCTGAGGGCAAAAGTTTAATTCTTCATTTTATTTTCCTCCCTGCTGGATGGATCATGTTCTTTTTCTATCCTTTCTCTGTTTTGCTCTCCTACCCCGATGCCTCCCTTCTTCCCAGTTCTCCTTCTGTCTCTTTCCTAATGTTGTCCTTTGTTTCTTTCCCAATGGTTCCCTCCTATTTCTCTCCTGATGGTTTTCCTTATATATTTTTCCTTCTCCCTTTTTTCTTATCCCTTTTATACCACCTAAGCCAAAGATTTCTATGCAAAAAAAGATTACCTCACAACCATAAGTTACATATTTTTCAAAAACAAATTAAAATCTCTATAAGAAATCACATTAAGATCATAAATTACATGTTTTCCTTAGAAGTTCACAAGTAGTTAAACATTTTTCTTTATATTAATTTCCCCACCTTAACATCTTCACCCCATAGCAATGATTCTTTTATTACTGATTAACAAATTTTTAAACAAGCTGAGTTTATTTCAGCCAGTTCCTTTTTTACAGGCAGGCAGCTATTTGTGGTTTTATTGTAGCAGATTTTTATTTTCTACTCTAGAGAAATTTTATGTGAGTGGTTAGCTAGCTAGCTATTTTTCTTTATACATCTATTTTTGTTTTCTTCAGTGAGTTACATGATCAAGGAACTCAGGCCTAACCTTGGGTGTAGGGACATAATTGCTTTCTTTAGTCATCAGCTTGTTTTTCCACAGGCAGAATTCATGGATCTATAATGTAAGAAACTTCCCTGTTCTTATTTTCTGTCTTCTATAAATCTCATATCTAACAAAGGGGAAGGTGACTTCTAGCCTATTTTTGACTTGGCAAAATAACCTAAACAATTTCCTTAATCATCTTTATGTCTTATACACCTGTATCTTTTAGGCTAACTCAGAAAGTACAGTTAAGTCATAAATCTAACTAATCATCATTACTCTTATAAAAATCATCTTTGTTATGATCTGCAAGTAAACTGCCCAATGAGGAGTGGGATTATCCCAGGAAACAATCACATTATATTAGATGCAGTGGGATCCCTTCATACAGTAAACACACCATGCCAAATACAGCAAGAGTAGGGCAGCCGCAAACAGAAGGAAGCACAGCAGAAGCAAGGGGAATTCTGGAAACAATCCCCCTGGGGGCTTTGCCTCTCCAGGATGCACCCAGAGTAGCTTTGCAATCCTCTGGGCTATTTCCCATAAGCTCCATTGCTGACTGGAGCTCCTCTGACATGGCCACTGGCAGTTGTTCTGTGTAACTCTACTATTGGTAACACAAGTTAGAATAAGTATTGCTTAACAAATTAGAAAACACTGTTCTTCCAATATAGGATGGCACTAGCCTTTGCTACTTTAAATTTGTAGGACTCAAAGACAGTAGAGATAGAACATAGGCCTAGAGGTGCAGACAAGTTTGGGATTGGGGCTTGTTAGTGTATATATAAGGAAACACAATTGCTTGTTTTGTTTAAGGGCTGTCTTTAACTTCTACCAAGTTCCCTAGCTACAGAGGAAAACAAATAAGGATATAAGATAATGATTATGTTTACTCTCTGTTTTAAGGAAGTTGGGAGGTAGTCCTAAGTAATATAGTAATTCAGTTTAGTACACAAGACTCTAAAGTGAGACTGTCCCTGCTTACTTTTTATGTAATTGGGATTTATCCTCATATTTTAATGCAAAGGTCAGTTCTTTACCAATCTTAAATTCAAGTTCTAAGTTCAAATTAATAAATTTGGTAGGATAAGTTTTAGACCCAAAAACTATTTGGGGGCTTTTCTCTTTTAATTCTTGGTAACAGGCAATTTCCCTCCCTCCTGTAAAGAAGGTTAGGATACTAAAATAATTGGTTGCATTTGATTTTCCAGGAACTGTCTACTTGTAATTGACTGTTTAAAAATTACCTTTGAAAAGAGCATGGAGGAAATAATTCCACCAATAAGGTGCTTGCTGTGTTTAATATGAAAACCAAAGTTCAATTTTCAGGACTCACATAAAAACTTCTGGGGGTATTGGTGGTGGTTTGTGCCTGGAGTCAACACACAAGGAAATATGTGCAATTAATTAACTGAATGTCCTTGAGGTATTGACAAATGCCACCATACTGACCTTGCACAGTACAGTAATTATTCACCCAGAAAGATGGGATGAGGACTGATTGAAACATCAAGTGAAGAACACTGAACTGAGAACTGCTTCACACTAGTAAAATTGTGGCAAAGCATTGTTCCTTGTTGAAAAAGAGGAAGCCTCTGGGGTTGAAGTTTAATTCCCAGGTATTACATGCTCATGGGGAGACTTTTGGGCAAGTTACCCACTATTTCTGTGCCTCAGTATCTTCATCTGTACCTTGAGGATAATTGTGATATCACCCACCTTCCAGAAGAAACATAACTAATTATGTAGCATTGCAAAGGATCTTTCTTCTTCCAGGTATCTTCTTCCAAGTGTCTTCTTTGCAGGCATCTATGTGGCCACTCCTACCTGGGATGCATCTAAACTGCTCCTTTCCAATGATCCTGTACAACACTGTGCAATTCAGACTTGTCATAACTTATCTGTAACCTAAGTAGACTCTATCCTCTAGTTTAGTTACCACAGTATTCCTAGGACAGATTGCTCAACCTGCTACCCAGTAGACACACACACACACACACACACACACACACACACACACACACACACAAAAATTGATCCAGTTTTTCGATAAATTTTAAAAATACATCTACACTTCAAATACAGCTCTACAAGTGTGCAGATGTAAGTGAACAAAAACAGAAAGTGGGGCAGGGAACATAAGAAGGATGAAAAAGGGCTAATCTGAGGGACCCTGAGCATCCTGGAGAAGCAAACAATGGCAGACTGGGAAATGAGATCTGTGGACAGATGAGTGTATGGATAAGCCCGTGAGAATGCTGCCTACGAGGTCCTGCTCTCTAGGACTCTTCAGGAAGCCGGCTAAGGTGCAGAAACTTGAAGGTGCTTGAGTTTGGTCGGGGACAGGATTTGTAATCACTGACTAGAACATGGCATTAAGGTCTAGTCATGATGGAATAATGGGAAGTCTGTGTTGCTTTGGATGAAAATGTTGAATTTGTTTCTGTTGATAAATATCAGGTCAAACTGAGGTAAACAGTACTTGCTGACACATCTACAAGCTCTTGAAGCTTAGTGGGAAACACAAGATGTTTATTGTTCCAATACAAGAAGTGTTTTCATGAGGAAGAGATAGAGTTTGTGCCATAGACCTTCAAGAAGAATGTCACGTTCCACTTTGTGCCTTGGATGCCCTTGGGTCCCAGACATCACAGGCTAGCAGACATATCGTGGTGGTGGTTGGTTCTCTGAGAACCAAGCCTGGAGTGATACACATCTTTCTACCCACCTTTGTTTGGTCTTCAGTTAGCTCCAGCTACTATTGGGGAAACAAAGAAATGAAAACTAGTCACCTACCCATTTGGGAAATCAACAAGGTTCTTTGGAAGGAGATAAAAGACATGTCTGGTTCCTGGTCTTCCTCTTCTTTCCATCTCTACCTGTTGGTGACCTGAAATCATCATGGCCACAGGGAATACAATCTTTGAGAGGCAAAGAATGAAACTCAAGGCAGCACCATTTTAACAGGTGCTGGGACAAAAACTGCTGGAGTCTGACATCTGGAAGTTTTTCTTAAACATTTAAGTACAGTAAAACTTTGGGGAAAATGTTGCCACGTGACAAACACCACAGCAAAGCTTTAGGTATAGTTACATAGAGACTTTCTATCAAAGTAGCAAAGTGCCTGAGACCTTTACAATAAAAATGGGTTCTACTGACTGATGAACAATGTTCAGGGCAAAGGTCTAAAGAGGATTTGGAATAAGCATAAGGATAGATTCAGTTGATGGAGGATGCAAATTACTTGGGACCTCTTTCATAATGATGGGTTCCATTTACTGAGACACGAAGCTCAGGATTGGGGCCTAAACAATGCTCAGGATATCAGAAGATTCTGGAAGGCTAGCTCTATAGCAAAAAGACTACCATGTTGTCAGACAACATCCACTCCAGCCCTCCTGGTGACCAGGCATTAGTCAGTTTTCTTCCTTTGAAGAAAATAGGCCTGAGTGTTTTACAAATCTGATTCTTACAATGCCTTCTTTAAGCTGTGCCTCCTACATTTACCCTTCTGTTCTTATGAAAAAGCAACCTACAATGGATTTTCAGTTAACAGCATCTGCTATGTAGCCACAGTCCTAGAGTGATTTAAGGAGGGAGCCTTTTTTTTTTCTTCACCTGCCCTGTGGGTTCACTGCTAAGGAGCCATGTATCTCCAGAGACTGTCTTTTGGGCAAAGGACAAAGTGCTCACCCTCATGGGACTTCTACCACAGCTGGGAAGACAAAGTGCAAGCAATAGTTAATCTAATTCTAATTGTCCAGAATGTCAGAATGACCTAAATTCTGGGGAAAAGGAAGGGATAGAGCAGAGAAAGGAAGATTATGCATGACCACAAATATAAGAACTAGGAACGCTGATGCAAATGTTTGCTATAATTAGCAGTTAAATGTAGCATAGTGTGTGGGAGGCACTGTTCTAAGAGTTTTACTCAATTAATCCACAGACAATACAATGTTAGCTGAAGGAATGCTTGAGGGATTAAACCAGTAAAGAAAACAAGTGCTTGTCTTTATTTCCCTGCTGTTATTTGTACTGCCTTAATTGTTGGTATGATTTAAAGAAGTAGATATAAAGATGTGTGAACACTTGAAAGGATTGCTGTGGTTCTTTGCAGCACAGTCCTTTATTTTGTTACCTTTCATGTTGTGTGTTTATATTTATTCAAGCCCCCGTGTGTGTGTGTGTGTGTGTGTGTGTGTGTGTGTGTGTGTGTGTGTGCGGGGTGTGTGATGATTACCTGTGCATACAAACTGAGAGAAGAAAGGCTTGGGTGCTTTCTTCTAGCAATCACTCTCTGCTTATTCCATTGAGGCAGGGTCTCTCCCTATTGAGCCTGTGTCTTGGGCCTCCTTGGCCAGGTTAGAAGCCAGAAAACCCTACCTATCCCTCTGTGCCTGTCCTTATGTAGAGCTGGGGTTAGAGACATTTGTGGAAATGTCTAGCTTGCTATGTAGGTGCTGAGATCCAAACTCTTATCTTCAGCATTGCAGAGCAAGCACTCTTAACCATTGAGCCCATTCTGCAGCTCCCAAGTTCCATGCCACTTCAACTCTGTTCACAAAAGATTACATACACTTTTACTTATTAAAACAAACATGCTGGAAGAAATACAATGAGCTCTGGGGCCTCAGAGGTCACAGCCTGAGTTAGGAGAGAGGGTCAAAATGCATACCTTTTACTGGCTAAAGAGAGAGAATTCCCTTACCCCTGCTCCCCTCTATTGTCACCAGGCTCTTCCTGATAGTTGCTTGTTAGAAACCACCAAAGAACAGCTTTGAGTACTTTTTTGTAAGTGCTTTCAAAACATATTATGAAATGAAATCTTTCTAAAATAAAGTGATGGCTTAGGTGTTACATAGATCAAGTGAGAGGTACAATTACAAGTCTTTTGATGAGCTTAACTTTGGGACACTCCCTGCCAGACTCATATGCCTGCCCACAGCTATTAGACAGAATTCTCTGCTATGTGAACTCTGCATACATTTCCTGCACAGGACTTGGACATGGAGAAAGCATACCTTAAGATATACCTTTGTTTACTTGTCAAGAGGAAGAGAAAAATACAGATCATTCTATAAAACCCCCCAAATAGGCTTAGCATTTGGGGGGAAGGGGACACTTTTCCGTTAGGTAGTTTCCTTTATTGTAAAGGAAGATGGAAGTGAGCTCTCCCACAGCTGCCCGAAGGGATGAACATTTGAGAGAATGAAGTTTTCTGGAAACTTGGTGCCTACCTCACATGGGAATAACAGACACTACTTTTCCCCACTTTCTTCATGCAGGGACTCTTGCAGTCCTGCACAGGAGCTCCAGAGCTCCTGCTCAAGCCAAGGCTCTCACTTTATACTATCTCTGCACTTGGGCAATGCCACCACTTCTCTTAGAAACAACCCTCACTCTCTTTTTTCACCCGAGTGATTCCTACCCTTTAAGGTTTCCATCAAACAGAACTTCCAAGCGTTAACTCGGTAATTCCATTAGTCCTTTAGTGAAACCAGGCTCAAGGAGTACAGAGGCAGCTTTATTGCAGAGGCCCAGCATCTAGCAGCACCCGGGGAAATCAGTGTCTCTGTTGCTGAATTCCATCTTCTATAACCAGGAGGGGAGCAGCTGTCATTATGGCATAATGTGGTTGTGGTGACCAAATGCACTGAATGGTTTTTACAGGCTTCTCGGAGCTCTACCAGTCTCTCAGAGAATCCAATATATGTTAATCCCCATCCTCATTTTCCTTCAGGTAGAGCAGCAGGCATCTGCAGAACAGCTAGAGTGAGTCAACCTTTCTCTTTTTCTCTCTTTACAGGAGGAGTAGACCTGATGATGTCTTTTCTACCACTCATCAGTGCTGGACGTTGTTTCATTTGGCAATTGAGACAATGGAAATAGGTGATACTAGAAGACTAGTGGCTGTATTTTCAAAACTTGAGGAACAACTGATAAGCATCTGGTTAAAAATTCTATAAAAAATGTTCACTGTAGAAATTTGTGATAAGAATGTAGAAAATTAAAATATTCTTAGTAAAATTAAAATACACCTAGCAAAAGAAAGCTTTTAAAAATTTGTGTGTTAATATGCAATGTACATATAATAAAAATGTCATGTAAAGCAAAAATGCATCACAAGTATATAATTTTAATGAACTAAATATGGTTAGAAATTGTGATTTATGGGTGTATAACATTATATGAATGAATCACTACCTATGTAACGAGTTTTGTGTTTTTAGTTACTTTGAGATCCTATGTTTTTGTGGAATATAGAGCATGCAAATCACAAATCTTCACCTATAAATCCTTTCTTTTTTCTTTTTTGGGGAAAAAACTTAGGTCAACCAACTGAGATAGGCTAAGGATGTGGCTAGAGTGAATGCCTGTCATGTGCAAGGCCCTGTGCTCAATCCCCAACAGTAGTGTTTGAAAAGAAAAAGAAAGAAGAAAAAAGGCAGGCAGGTATGGCGGTGGTCACCTTTAACCCCATAACTGACAGAGGAATCTAAAACAAAAAAGATTGGGAGTAGAAGGGCAGCTGGGCTACATAGTGCTACATTGTGAGACCAAAAACACACTCGGACAGGTTTGTACATATGTGATTGTTTTTAGCTGCTTGGGTCATAATATGAATCCAAGTTCTTTTTCTGGATTTTCAGTTATAAAACCCAAGAATTCATTATATTCACCAGTTCTGTGTTACTTTTAAAGCAATAGAGTAATATGCTCTGCCAATTTGTAAAGGTCTACCTCTACCTGATTCTTGTATGGCACTGACAGTTAATGGCCCAGAAAGTCTGTAGGCGATCCAGGGTCAGAGAAACCAAACTGATATCAAATTCATAGGGTGCCCAGAGGGACACACCCATTTTCACAGTGAAAGATCACATTGCACTGGCAAGGTTGAAATCAGTTTCGTGACTCTCAACTGGTAGGTTTTTTGTTTTTGATTTTTCCCAAATGAAACATACTAGAATAAAATATATGAATTCAGTTACCCTTGTTTAAGATACCCTTGTTTTCTAAATTGTGTGTGTGTGTGTGTGTGTGTGTGTGTGTGTGTGTGAGAGAGAGAGAGAGAGAGAGAGAGAGAGAGAGAGAGAGACAGACAGAGAGAGACAGAGAGACAGAGAGACAGAGACAGGAAAGGAGAGGGAGGGGGGATGTTTTTGTCATCTTGCAATCAGGAATTTGATGCTTTAATCCTTAAATTTTTGCTTCAGAAATATTTCAGATGCAGACTTTTCCCCACACTGTCCTCCTAGACAATGCCTTTTTAATTCTAAGGTCCCTGCAAGAGTCTCACTCAGCTCTTATCATTAATGGTGTTGATGTTTATGCAAAACATATAAAGCCTAGATATATATTACTATAACATAATAATTAATTTCCTTGAACTTCTGATGGCGCTTGGACCAGAGAACTATCAGGACAATTTTCATACAAGCATTTAAGGACCTTCACAGAATATCCCTAATGGGTTTTCTTTGGGTTGAGATCCTGGGCTTTGGTGATAAAAGGTAGACAAGAAATTCAAGTGACAGGGGCAGGGAACTGACTTAGAGTTTTTATTTGCTGTGAGGAGACACCAAGAAGAGAGTAATTTTCAGAAAGGAAAACATTTAATTGGAGGGCTTACATTTTCAGAGGTTCAGTCTATTATCTTCATGGTGTGACATGGTGACATTCAGGCAGACATGGTGCTGGAAAAGAAGCTGAGATTCCTACATCTTGACCTGCAAGCAACAGGAAGTGGTCTGAGATGTGGGTGTGGCTTGAGCATATATGAGATCTCAAAGCCCATCTCCACAGTGACACACTTCCATCATCAAGGCCACACCCAACCAATAAACCCACACCTCTTAATAATGCCATACCTTTTGGAGGCCATTTTCTTTCCAACCACTATAGAAACCTCAACCTCAACTCCAGGGTCTAGTTTATGCTTTTCACAGTTTGGGAGTCAAGTTTCAATACAACCATCTCAAACAAGAGGAACACAACAATTCACAAACTGCTTAAGGACAATGCATATGTGACCTTAGAGCATAGCTGTCAGAACTCCCTTCTTATCCCTAAACCTGAACAGTGCATCTTATAAACAACCTATGAGTTTATTCACAAAAGGAAATTCTTGAAGAGAAACAAGTAACCAACTCATAAAATTTTACTTAATTGTTGAACTGCTTTATTAAACTTTAAACATGGTTGAGCAATGTAGCTTCAAAAACAAAATATACATGCAAATATGTACACACACAACAAACACACACACATGCACCACACATACACACTCACAGACACACACAGACACACACAGACACACACAGACACACACACACACACACACACACACACACACACACACACACACACACTCCTCTGTAGTGCTAGTGTTTGAACCTAGGATCTACCATTTGCTAGATAGGTGCTTTACTACTGAGACACATCTCCACTGTTTTCAGTGTGATTTTATTTTGAGACAGGGTCTCATGAAGTTGACCAGACTGTGAACTTACTCTTCAGCCCATGTTTGCTTTGAATTTGGATCCTCTTTCTCTAGCCTTTCAGGAGCTGGAATTACAGACTGCACACCAGACCTAGCCACACAATTACTGGTAAGACACAGCACAGTCCTTTTTCCTGAGACACAGATACCTACCCACCTTCAAATTTTTTCTTAATAAACATCAACTTTTTCTTATACTGTCTTGTCCTGAAATTCTTTTCTGTGACTTAAGTTAAGATCCCTACTTCACAAGAGTAGATATCTCCAGAAAGAACTCAGGCAGAACGGCTGGCTGCCTTGGGTCACATGTTCTGCATCAGGTGACAAAATCACAGTACACCCTTGTCTTAGCTTTCTCCAGGATGGATTGGGTTTTATGCCTTCCTCCTAGTTGAGCATCATGTTCACTCCTCCTCCTCTTCTTTTGACATGCTTTCGTTTTTTGGTCCATGGTGGCCTCAAACTCATGGCAATCCTCCCTCCTGCCTCAGCTTCCTTAGACCTAGAATTACAAGCATGTTGCCATCATATCCATCTGTTATCCCTTATCTCCAAACATGTCCCATGGATAAGCTCTGAGAAGAATGCTTCTCCAACACTCCTGAGCCATATCTACCAGCCCAGCCACATTAGGAGATTGTAATCTGTGATTCCAGCTTTATAATTTATAGTTAATTAAGGGGTAGACACTGTACCTATTCCTATTGGGGTAGATAAGGCAGAGGGAGCGGGATACTCATGGCGTTCAGTTGGAGAAAGGAGGACAAACTCGGCTGAAAAACTCTCTTGGGGTTGGCTGATTTGGCTGCCAGGTGTTATGGGTGAGATGTTTATAACCAGATCTTAGCAGTTTCTCTTATGATTCAGGGGAAATAGCATGCCTCTCACGTGCTCTGTGGAGTGTTTATTAGTCCCTGCTCCCTTCAAGAAGGCGTCACTCTGGAGTTTTGGGACAATTCTAGGACCACCGTCTAATTCCACAGTGAGCCGCCTAAGACGTCTGTGTTACTTACGTCACATATATAAATAATTTCGATAAGAATTAGGGCCTGAATAATTGATTTTCTTCACCAGTTAGAAGCCACACATATAGAAGACCCCACCGAAGATGTTGGATACATTTTCTACCAAAAATTACTTTTGTATTTTCAAGGACAAGAGAAAGTTTTTCTTCTCCTTCTTGAATTTGATTGAAAATCAAGGGCTTTTCCCACTAATTTTGGCATGCAGGAACATTTCTCGATAAAAGGTAAAAAGTCAGGTGGAATCCGAGTCCCCTTGGGTCACCTGGTGTAGCAACCTGAGCGATTCTGTAGTGAGCACATAAGTAAGTTTCTACTTTTGGGGGGAAAAGAAACACAAACGCCCCTCCTCTAGGGGCGGGGGAGGTGCCTGGGGATGCACCAATCACAGCGCGCCCTGCTCTATATAAGCCACCCCTCCCCCAGGACCCCCTGCGCTGTTGATGCTCTTTATACTTTTTCTCACGGGGTGTATTTCTTGACGTATTCTTGGCTATGTCGGAAACGGTTCCTGCTGCCTCAAGTAGCCTTGTCCCAGTTCCTGTCGAGAAACTTCCATCTAAAAGGCGAGGAAAGAAACCTGGCCTGGCTGCTGCTCGCAAACCCCGGGGTTTCTCGGTTTCCAAGTTGATTCCCGAGGCCCTTTCGATGTCTCAGGAACGGGCGGGAATGTCCCTTGCTGCCCTGAAGAAAGCCCTGGCTGCGGCTGGCTATGACGTGGAGAAGAACAACAGCCGTATCAAGTTGGCCCTCAAGAGACTTGTGAATAAGGGGGTTCTGGTGCAGACCAAGGGCACCGGTGCCTCCGGCTCCTTCAAGCTCAGCAAGAAGGCGGCTCCTGAGAATGCCAAGGGTAAGGTCAAGAAATCTGCTTCTGCCAAGGCCAAGAAGCTGGGCTTGTCCAAGGCCTCGAGATCCCCCAAGAGCACGAAGGCCAAGGTTGTCAAGAAGCCAAAGGCCACTCCCACAAAAGCATCAGGGAGCAGACAGAAGACCAAAGGCACCAAGGGTGTACAGCAGCGGAAAAGCCCCGCCAAGGCGAGGGCAGCCAACCCCAATGCTGGCAAGCCAAAGATGGTCCTGCAGAAGACCGACCTGAGGAAGGTAGCAGCAAAGAAGTGAGCTTCAAAGCCAGCTTAAAAAAACCCAAAGGCTCTTTTAAGAGCCACTTCCATTATTTTCAAAATGGCAAAACACTTTAAACAAAACGAGGTGGACAGTGTCTTCAGGTGGATCTGTCTTCTAAACCCTGGAGTTAGTTAAAACGTTGGGAGGTCTCTAGATGTATCATATTTACAGACTTGATTGGGTATTAGTGCTTTCACATTAGCATAAAGGTCACTATAAGTGTATTTTATCCTAGAAACGCCACCATATCAAGGACAGAAGTAGAGTTCAGTAGTAGCTGCCACTTTGACCAAATACTGTAATTTACCCTTTAAAACACCATTAACCGCTGGGAACCCAGATGTTTAGACTCAAGTTTTTGCAGTTTGTCATTAACGATCCATTTTTGTTCCATTTTACAAAATGGTTTAATGCTATTGGCCTAACAGTTACAGTTGAAATGTTTTGTATATTTTATGAAAATAACTAGGCTTCAGGAGACCGACTAGAGCAGTATTAAAAAGAACCCCATTCTTTTAGGAAAATGGTTTTATGCCTTAAGGAGTGCCACAAATATTAATTCATATTCATCGATTTTAGGCCTTGGTTTGAGGAGTGACTAAAGACCATAGCTGGGCGGCTTGTTTAATGAAGATGCTCTTGAAGACCAGAGCCTGGATACCAGAACACTGCAATTCCAGTTTCCAGGGAATCCGATACACACACAAGAACTTAAAATGATATAAAGCCATCATACACTATGCGATTCGTGTATAAAATGACCCTTCCCAATAAAGGATGTGTATTCAGACCTTGTTCATACACTGGCTAAACATTTAAGATCAATTTGTGTAGAGGTAGTCCTTGCCTTTTTTAGGTAAGATGGCCCCTGTCCCGAGCTTGAAATTTAAAGAGGATGGTTACGAGAATAAACCACATAGCTGGCAAGGAAGTTTTTAAATGACTGGTACCTTGAAGTAGACTATTCATTACATAGTGGCAGTGGAAATCTGACATCACGCAGCTTATGGTAGCCTTTTTAACGTTACAATTCTATGGCAGTGCATCTAGCACTGAAATAATTCACACATTACAATTTCAGACAACAGACTTTACGATGGGCTCATAGTACAACTCCCTGTTACATTCCCATATTCACGTGTTTCACGGTTTAACATTAACATTAGGACACTCACAAGCTGTCTAAAGGAACAAAAATCAAAAGATTCCCTCAAAATACATGAGAATGACCTCACAAACCTACAATAAAGATGACTTATAAAAGACTAACACCGCCTTCTCGGAAAAAGTGAAAACAACTCCTTGCTGAGTTTGTGGGTGGCCCTGAAAAGGGCCTTTTGCGACACTGGAGAAAACGCAACAATGGCTTAACCGCCGAAGCCGTAGAGCGTGCGGCCCTGGCGCTTGAGGGCGTAGACCACGTCCATGGCGGTGACGGTCTTGCGCTTGGCGTCCTCCGTGTAGGTGACCGCGTCGCGGATCACGTTCTCCAGGAACACCTTCAGCACACCGCGGGTCTCCTCGTAGATGAGGCCGGAGATGCGCTTAACTCCGCCACGGCGGGCCAGGCGGCGGATGGCGGGCTTGGTAATGCCCTGGATGTTGTCGCGGAGGACCTTGCGGTGGCGCTTAGCTCCTCCCTTACCCAGACCCTTACCACCTTTACCACGTCCAGACATGGTTGCAACAACCGATGCGCACAGAACCCAAGCTTCCCTTTAAATAGTCCTCCTGCGGACCTAATTGAAAACCACAGGCGTTAGGCGTGGCTTTCGAATCAGGACCTTAAAAGAAGGTGGAGCAAACAGGAGGCGTCATTATAACTGAAGGTTTTGATTGGCTAGCAATCCCCAGCTATTTTTGCCCTCTGTATCCTGAGGTACAGATTTCAATCTCGCGGAAAATGTTCAATTTTGTTTTTCCTTTTTTTTTTTTGCGCGAAATGAAATGCTTGTTGGTACTATTACGCAAAGCAGGTATCCATATTTCACATGTATTTTTATTTCCATCTTGCTAATAAATTACTTGATGGTTCCATTGTGCAGACACACGTAAAATATCCAAAATGGTAAATTAAATATGCCAAGAACACCTCTTGCCGGTAGTTTTGTAAAGACAAAAACGTTTTTCAAAAAGGGTCTAAATTGAGCCGCCTAATTGTAAACTTCATAATTCCTCATCTCCAGTCAGACACCTAGTGAGTCCACCGCCCACCCCCCCTTCTTTATAAAGACTGAGAAAGATTGTACAAAAAGATGTAGGTTATCAGGTGCCCTTTTCTTGGTGTGTTCTACTCTGTCTTGGTTCCAGGTTTGTTTCCCTCCCAGACCTTACTAATCACAGCATGGCTTGCTCAGCTTTGGAAAAGAAGTGTTTTGTAGATCTGGGAATTATAGCATAGGGCTAATACTTGATTAAGGTCATTACAAAGCCTACAGGGTTCTGGTGAAGCCTGTGATAAGATTAGTGATGTCAAAACAAGGCTAATATATATATTTTAAGGCAGAAGAGCAGGCAGCATTAGCTTTTAATGTGGGTTAAATGTTGGTTTGGGACTTCCAAATTTTAATTTAACAAGGAGATAGGAGAGATGACTCAGATGTTAAGAACATTTGATAATCTCCCAGGGGTTCCAGGTTTGGTTCTCAGCACCCACGAGGTAGCTCGAAACCTCCCATAACTCCACTTCTAGGAATCTGACCCCTTTTTCTGATTTCCATGGGTGCCACTACTGCAGGCAAAACACTCACACAGGAAAAAAAAAATCTAAAACGTTTTTTGATTTTATTTAAAAACAATTTTATTTTAATTTAAAAACAATCTTATTTTACATATCAATCTCCACCCCCTTCCCTCTCCCTCCCATGCTCTGATGCCCCCAACCCACCCCCCACGGATAGTGAAGGCTACCATGGGGGATCATGAAAGTCTCACATCAGCCGGTATATCTAGGCTGAGAGAGTATCCCTCCATAGGGAATGGGCTCCCAAAGTCCAGTTGTGCACTAGGGATAAATACTGGTTTACTGCTAGATGTCCCATGGACAGCCCAGGCCTCCTAACGGGCACCCACATTCACAGGTTCAGTCCAATGCTGGTTCCCTAGCTTTACGACTAGGGACGGTGTGCTCTCACATGGTTAGTTCATTTGTTTCTATAGGTGTCTTCAGGACAGACTTGACTCCTTTGCTCATCCCTCCTACCTCTCTACAACTGGATTCCAGGAGTATGGTTCAGTGCTTAGCTGTGGGTGCCTACTTCTGCTTCCATCAGCTACTAGGTGAAGGCTCTAGGATGGCAATTAAGGTAGTCATCAATCTCATTATAGGGGAAGGGCATCAAAGGCTGCTTCTCCACTACTGCCTAGATTCTTAGTTGTGGTCATCTTTGTGGATCTCTGAACATTTCCCTAGTGCCAGATTTCTCTTTAAACCTATACTGGAGCCATTATAGGTTAGTACACTTTTAAAATAGATAAAGCATTCTGACCAATTTGAAGGATTCTAATTCCTGTCTCTTGTTACCCACCCCCAGCATTCAGAAAAAAATGTTTGGAAATATTTCTGATAAATTCCCAGGGCTATGGTTAATTTAGAAATGTTACAGCATATTTATTCCTCACTACAGAAAACATCAGAAGTCTGCTACCAGGTAGCATTGGCAATTCGTTACATAGTTTGGCAAGAAATGGCCACAGTGTCTCACCGGCTTTCTTGGCTCGGAGATAAGTCTTATAGTGGTTATGAGCAGATTTAAAATTCCAGCACAGTCATTTTCTAGCAATTAACTAGAAATTTCAAATAGTAAGCTGACTAATCTCCATGCCCAGATTTTCATAACATTGAAATAAAAGCTAACTCTGCCAAAAGGCCCTTCTTTATAGAACTCTGGGGGAAATTAACAGTGAGAACAGCATCCAGTAAGTATTCAAGTAAAATTACTTAAAATGTTAATTTTACAAAAAGTTGGGGGAGTGAGAGAGTACTCGCTTGACATGTGTGAGGCCTTGGGTTTGAGTCTCAGTACAGAAAATGAATTAGTTTTAGAAAACGTTCATTCCACAGAAGATGTTCCTGGGACTGCAAATTCTTATTCATGCAAATAAGGAGGGAGACAGAAAAACTTTTCCTCAAAACACTATTTTTCTCTTCCTCTACCTTGGACAGTTAATAAGAAACAGCAGTCCTGAGCCATGAGAATGTATGCTGGGCAGGGCATGACCAGGTGATATCCAATAATATCTAAGTGAATGCATATATCAAAGCATCCATGCTTTCTAAAAATTGCCTCCCGGAGTCCTGAAACATAGCATTGATGATCTATATGTGAAAAAGGTAGGGATTAGTCACTACCAAGTTGTGCTCCAAACCATTCAGGAAGATTTCAAATTTCAGGTACCAGTCAGCCCACACATCTTTCATGCTTAAAGCTGTTCAGAGTGGTCTAATAGTTGTTATTAAATTTTAAAAAACATAGATATTGGTGTAAAAGTAACACCATGACAAATTTTGGCACTGTACCTGCATCATTTTTCTTTGAAACGTGTCTGGGGAGTGCAGAATGAGGAGTGCTGCAAGACAGTAAAGAACTACCTGACTTTTCTCATTGCAACATTTGAGAGGAAGCACTTCCAGAGTGGACCTCCCTGCATGCATGCCTCACTGTTGAAGGAGCCTTGGAGATCACTGGGTTGGTTGTTTGCCTTCTGTTCTGTTAGATGTTCAGAATACCAGCCTTTCCAGTATCTAGTACACAATTCTGTTTTCTATAATTTCCATGCACTTTCTCTTTAAAAATATCTTCTACACACACACACACACACATACACACACACACACACACACACACACACACACACACGCCTTATTATTTGTTCTTTAAGAATGTTTCTTTTAGCCCAGGCAGGCCTCCAACTCACAGTGTAGCTGAGAATAAGCTGACCTCTGATGTTCCTGCATTCACCTCCCACTCACTGCGATTACAGGTATGCCAAACATAACTGGTGTTTTTTCTGGACAAGAGTTGCTGCTTCCAGCAGCCCCTCATCAACACTTTACCTTAGGGATATGTCTTTGTCCCCAACCTCTTTGCAACCAACTGTGATGTATTGTAATGAGCCGCTAGGTGTCATCCTTCTTCAACCTTCCACGTTATGTTAATGTTTTGGATGTGAGGGAAGATGGGAAATTTGAAAATTAAATCTTAAATCTTTAAATGCACCCCCTAAAATTTTATGAAAAAGTCAGAAATGACACTAAGAAATACACCAAAATGCAAATGTATCATTTGCATAGTCTAATTATTATACAATTTTTTAGTTAACTATAACATTTCCCTACCAGGTGAAGGAAACCCCATGGCATTCTGCTATGTACAGACTGATATTTAGAGAGAATAAATTACAGCGTGCTTTCAGCTCGGCTTGTAGATAAACACTTACTTACAACTCAGATGATAATGTCCTTACAGCAAAGGAAAACTATCAATCAAGCTATCACAGTGTAATGAAAAAAGGAAAAAAAAGTACATACATGAGCCAGGCGGTGGTGGCACATGCCTTTAATCCTAGCAGAGGCAGAGACAGGCAGATCGCTGTGAGTTCGAGTCCAGCCTGGTCTCCAGAGAGAGTGCCAGGATAGTCTCCAAAGCTACACAGAGAAACCCTGTCTCGAAAAAACAAAAACAAAAACAAATATAAAGTACAAACATGTAATCTCAATTACAGTGGGAACAGTTTAAAAAATTAAACCAAACCAAAATAAAAATGTTCCTAACTATATCCATATAATGGGCAAGAATATCATAAAGCTGTGTGGGACAAAATACGGTGGCATATTTACCAAATCAAGTGTTTATTAGTTGCACATGTTTTGATGGGAGTGATACCTCGGCAATGTACCAGTTGTTAGTAGAGTGTTACTCACTGAAGAAATGATAACTGTATGTCCATCTATTTTCAACAGTGAATTCATATTTTGCTGTTTTTTTCTTCAACCTAACTTTCATAAACAGAAAACAAGATCAAGACCAAAAAAGAAAAAAAAAAAAAAGTGAAGTTGAGGTCCCAGCTCAAAGCTTGGTCTGAGGCACTTGGTTTTTACGATGGAATTTATAGCACAGTCATGCAGGCAAATGTGTGCTTTGGGGGAGAAGTGAATACATGGCATCTGAATGAAGACATGTACCCATGCACACATGTGCATACACATGTACCCATATATGAACACACACATGAAGACAGATATATGTACTTACACAAACATGATAGAAACATAAGGCTTGGCTCTCAAACATGAACAAATGAACCTCTTTTCTTCAACCTAGTAATTTCTAAATTGTCTAGTTCAGTCGCATTTTTTGCTTTAATGTGTACAACTATGAATGAGCAGCCAGACCCCAGTAACTCCCGGCATTCTCCAGGCCACCTGCAGTTTCCATTTACTTCCTTGAGATGAGAATGCTTAACAGATTATTGGCTGCCAGGACAGTCACTTGAAGGTTCTGACTCCAGAAGCATCAGCTTCAAGGACATCTGTCAGATAAGTTAAAAAACAAAACAAAACAAAAAAAAAAAAACTAAATTGAACTAAAAGAAGGATGCCAGAGAAAACAGGAGATTGAAAGGACTCATGGTAGCTGAGGGTTGGAGAATGTTGGCAGCTATTTCTCATGACATGAGTCAAACTTATTGAAAAGAAAAAAAAAAAAAAACTCAGGAGACAAGAAAAAAGTAATCTTCTCCACTTCCCCTCACTTCATGTAACTAATCCAGTGCACAGGGTGCATCAAAGAGTCAGAATGATACTCTTACGACTGTTTGTGTGTCTGTATCTCTGGAGAGGTGTGGGTCTTCATTTTCTGCAACTAAAGAAAAGGGAAGTTGGTGCAGATAATAATTTCCACTTGATGAAAACATTACAACTTTCAGGCCGTGGTCTACATGTAGCAGGTGATCAGAGCAGAGTATAATATTGAGCACTTCTTCACAAGTGCAAGCCACACTTTATTATTATAATCATGATTTCTATTATCCGGCAAGGAAAGAGGGTACTTCACAGGCATCATGTCACCAATGCACATGAAATTAGTCATTGGAAATCTGTCCAACAGCTTTGTAGATATGAACACATAGCCATCATTGTGCACAAAGACGTCTGTATTTTCTCAGAGGGTGTCTCCTCAGGTTGTATTGATGACCCATATAGCACTCTAATGTCAGAAAAGTCAGAGTTTGGTGACATAGGAATCACAAGATGATAGATGGAGAGGCTCAAAGGACAATTGAGTGGTTCCTGGATTCTAGGATACTTGTTGCAAAGTTATGGCACAAGTACGTTGTGTGTATCTCAGGAAGAAGACTCATAGCTTCTTCAAATATGAAAATGAATTGTGTATCCTCCAAATTTAGAGAGCCTTGGTAAGAAGTAAACATATGGAGTCTAGATGGATGGAGGAAATGAAGGATGCCTCTAGATGCAGCTGGAGATTCATGAGACCAGTTCTGGAGGGAGAGGTTACATCTGGAGCAGTCACTGTTGTTCAGGAACTCAAAGACTTGACTGGGGGAAACATCTTAAGAAAGTGAACAAGGAAAGCTACGAGCAGAGTACATCAGGCACTTTCTGTCTATTAGATCCAACTCTGTCCTAGAATGGAGCATGCGTGCTTCCTCCAGGTCTTTGGTGGAGTCTCCTCCCTTCCATGGGTCTGCAGGCTGCAGGTCATTCACACTCTGCTAAGACATAGTCACCCATGGTTTCTTCTGGGAAGATAAGACACCCAGGGAAAGACATTATTGTCCAAGCATCATCTTGTCCTATCCCTTTCTACCTCCTCTATGCCTGACCATGCTTCTTCAGGAACTCCACTGGATTTCAGAGATGGTTATCTCTCCATGTGACAGTGTTTAATAGCTGTCTAGCTACTTTTCTTGTCACCTAACTCACCCCCTCTCACCCCTTTCACAAACACAGACATTGTTCCCTTTTCCTTTTGTGACTTTATCAGCTCCCCAGTCATCATAACATAATGTTCCACAGGACTGTGTAGCCTGGCTTCTGTCTCCCTCTCATTTCCCAATGCTACAGATACCCAGAAATAGGGTGGGGGCAATTTGTGAATGAGGAACACATGAAGTCAGGGACAAGGTCCAATAACACATTCTTTTACTCAGCATGGTTGTTAGATCTGCGGTGTGTGTGTGTGTGTGTGTGTGTGTGTGTGTGTGTGTGTGTATGTGTGTGTATTCTAAGAGAGAGTCTTACAAAGTAACCAACCCTTCAACTCCTGGCAATCCTTTTCCTGACATCAAGGTCACAAACTACCACACGTGTTTTCCATCACCTTTCTTGATGTAATTTGAGCATTTCTTCGAGTGACATCCCAAATATTTTCATTCTCAGAGATCTTCTTTAGCTACACTTGTCACAAATTCCATTCCACAGTAGGTTTAGGCTCTGAGACTTGACCAGTGGCTTTCTCAACCTCAACTCCCTAACTCTACCTTAAATAATACCTGCAAAATAATAGGTGCCTAGAAGCTGTTTCCTGAATTGGGAACTTCCTACATAGGGAAGACAAAACAACACAAAATGTCCCCAGAGACATTCTAATACTCTCAAAGAAAAGACCATAGAGCGGGATTTCCAATAGAAGTCTCACTTTCTGCAGGAATATGTGTCCTGGAGAAAGAAGTGCCATGACATTTCCTCCATGCCCCTACTCACCTGAAGCCTTCCTTTTCCTTAAGATTAGGAACAAAATTCCAACAAAGAAGATGACACAAATGGTGATCCCACTGATGGTTCCAATGATCATGGCCCGAGATGGCAAGGGCTCTAAAATGGCAAATGCAAATTCAAGTCTATGACTGCCACATCCCAGCCCAGAGAAGATGATCTCTGCCCTGAATGCCCATCCTTACCCCAGGTGGCAATGAGGGGCTGATCCAAGCCTGGGTGCTCTACTTGACAGGTGAATCTTGTCTCATCACCAGGGGCCACAGGCAAGGTCATGTGGGCCTGGTAGGTCCCATCCCCATTAGGCAGCACATCCTTGGGGTTGATATCATTGACATCCAGTGGCTGGTTGTCCTTCAGCCACTTCATAGTGATGTTCTGAGGGAAGAAGTTCAGAGCCTGACATCTTAGAGAGGTCCCTGCAGGAGCCCAATGATGAGTCACCTTCACCAAAGGAGGCACTTGAGGGAAAGAGGAAGGAGAGGGGCTTGTTTTACCTTGGGCAGGAGGACTGACATTTTCACTTTCCTTTGTGGTAGGAAGCGCACACCCTTCTCAGAAAAACCAGCTGCAGGAGATGCCATTTTGGTATCCTTAAAAATGCCATCAAAATCTGATGCTAATGAAGTGCCACAAGGAGAACAGTGACTTCAGTCCGCTCCCCTGTTGAACACCTGTTTCCCAAGCCCTTTGACCAGGCAGACATTTCCCTTTCTGTGAAGCACATTTGATTGACTTGGACTCTGTTCATCTGGTTGAGCCTAGCAGCCACTCTTATAGGAAAGAGCCTTGGTAAGCTGGGTACCATCAGTGAGACTGCTGTAGTTTTGAGAAATAATCCTTAACTGCTAAAGGATTCTGCTGTTCAGATGGGTTGCCTTATTTGGTATTTTCATCTGATAATGATATGTCTGTATTCTTAAAAGATATAAACATACACAGGATCCATGGCTCCATCAGAAGAAGAGTTTGGATGTTTCCTTTCAAGCCACATGCATGAAGAAAATAATTCTATAGTTCATAGCTGTGTTGTACACCTCAATATGAAATGACACCTCTATCCCAAATGGTGATTCACACTTTGAAATCAAGGATTTGGGAAGCTGAGGGAGGAAAATTGCTGTGTCTGTGGCTAGTCTGGCCTGCATAGTGATATCTAGGCCAGCCTAGGTTAAAGTGTGAGAGACCATCTAAAGAACAAAAACAACAACAAACAGATAAGCAGCAACAACAAGAAAACCATAATAGCATTATCCATGTGTGGTTTATGATTGTAATCCTAGAACATGGAAGGCTGAGGCAGGGGGATTTCTGGGAGTTTGAGCCCAGACTAGGCTACATATTGAATTAGTCAGTATGGGCTACAGAGCGAGATCTTGTCTAAAGAAAAAAAAAAACAATGAAATGAATAAAATGGAAGTCTTAGGACTGAGAAAGTACTTTCCTTCTCAAAACTTGGGAGTGACTGAAACTTGACCTGGTACCTTGGATTCCCTTCCACTCCCACTCAAGAGTGTGGGGCCTGAGTATGGTCCCTCTTACCTTGCTGCTTCAGAAGCCCGCTCCCCAGCTCCAGGAACTGTTTCAGCTGCTCAGGACAGTCCCTCTCCAGGTAGTCCTTGTTCTGCCTGGTACGGATCTTGTGCTCTTCCCACTCCACCTTGGTGGTCCAAGCCCCTGGCTCTGCTGCTCTCCATTCCAGTGTCGTGGGGCAGAATTCAAGGTGGTCTTGCCCATCATACCCATACTTCCAGATGCCACTGGTACTATTGTCTTCATGCACCTCACAGCCCAGGATCACCTGCAGGATGTGGGACTCCGGCATCACTCCCAGCTTACTGCCTGGAAACAAAGAAGTAGGTGTTGTCCCCACCTCCCCCAGGTTTCAAACCATCGGGGCAGGCAGCTATCTCTCTCTTCTGTGTCCCCCATCCTCCAGCAGGATGTCACACCCACAGTTGTCCACTTGAAGATGTATCCCCAAGGTAGCAAAATAGTGCCGTGCTCTGACCACCCTAGGGAGGTAACTCCCCTCTCCACATACCCTTACTGTGGTTATAGTTGTCCATGATATTCCAGAAGTCGACAATGAACATGTGGTCCCACCCTTTCAGGCTCTGACTCAGCTGTAGCCACAGCTGGCTTGAGGTCTGGTCCAAGATCCATGGGGCCCGGGGCTCAGCACGGCGATTCTCATGATTATAGGACACGAAGAGTTGGTCATCCACGTAGCCCATAGCCTCAAACAAGGGCAGCCCAAGTTCTGTCTCTGAGGCACCCATGAAGAGGTAGTACAGAGAATGTGACCCTGGGGAAGTCGGCAAACATTCAGAATGGGCAGCAAGTGGGACCAGAAGGCAAAGGTTCCACAGCCCTGGGTCAGCTCCTGCTATCACATGAGTGAGGCCTCCCTGTGGAGCGACACAGTTCTCTTCCCAGCACAACCTTTTGCTCTTACTCTGCTCACCTTCTTGGGAGACTCTGGAAAGTACTTGGGTTTCTCTGTGGGGACCAAGCTAAGGAGTTGCTGCTCAGTTTGTTAAGTTGAAATCCCTAAGGAGTTGGAGGAAGTGAATTTTCCCTACTTCCATCTCTGAACATTTTCATGTGTAGATGTTGGCTGAGAAATCCTGGTGACTGTGCTGCCACACAGCTCAGGACAACTTGTCAGCAAACAGAAGGAGTCCCTTCTGGGAAAGGAAACTGACAGGAACTCTCACCACGGGGCTTTCCCAAGTTTCTCCCAATTCAGTTCCAGAACAGGGTTTCTCAGGGGTGCAAACTTAGTACTTCGAATGGCACCTGGCATGGGGTCAGCGCTTCACAAATGCTTGTTGGCCTGGAGTCAGTGGTTCACTCACACTTCTACCCCTAATACTCTGGAGACTGAGGCAGGAGGATTGTCTCAGCTTTGAGGCCACCCTAGGGTGCACAGGTGAGTTCCCGCCCATCTGAACTACATAGGGAGACACCCCTCCAGGGGCTGTCTGGAAATAAAGAAAGATCAGCTTGAAGATTATGATTTCTTTTCACCCCGAGGAAAGATCTAAGGTGAGAGCCAGTTAACTAGCAATAACTGCTGCTTCCCAGTGCATAACTAGTCAAAAAGGATCACAGATCCAAATGTTATTGAAGTGTAGTAAGCAGCACTAAAAGCCTGTTAATCCTTTGTTAATTTGCAAATCAACAAAGCCCACCTGAACAAGGGTCTCTAGAACAGTGGTTCTCAAACTGTGGGTGGAAATCCCTTGGGGTCAAACGACCCTTTCACAGTCTAATACCAGGCATCCTCCGTATCAGATATTTACATTATGATTCACAGCAGTAGCAAAATTACAGTTATGAAGCAGCAGTGAAAATAATTTTATGGCTGAGGATCACCACCACCTGACGAACTGTATTGAAAGGGTTGCAGCCTTAGGAAGGTTGAGAACCACTACTCTGGGGGTGCCCAAAGGGTGATACTGCCAAAGGGCACTGACCTCTCACCCACAGTGAGTGAAAGGGTGAAGAAGCCTGGCATTCAGGCTGCCCTCAGACTCCTGCTGGACTCTCTTTTCTTAACCTATCTTACCCCCTTCCAAGGCTTAACGTACAAAGATAGCATTGTCCCACACCTGAAGTTCCCTGTATTACAGGAATATCAAAACCTCAGGACGGGAATCCTCCCCACCCCCACAGGAGGGTAACTAATTATCTATGAGGCTAAGGCAGCACACTGAGGCAGAAGAAATAGTTATGTGGTGCCCTAACAATGAACACTTTATCGACTACATTACAGGATGAACAATTTATTTATTTTTAATCTTTCTAATATGGCCACACTGAATAGATCTGATTCTTCATTACTGGACTTCTTAACTGGCACATTGTTACCAACCGCAAGAGCTGTCAGAGTCCTGGCTTCTTCCCTAAAATCTTTGTTTACACTATTACATCCATTTGTAATTAAAAAACGTTTCTAGATGAAGGAATTATTTCCAAGAGAGAGAAAATGTCCATGCCTCTCCCGCTCCAAATGACCTTCACCTCTTCTGACCAAAAAATAATACAGTGGGGTGCGACCCAGCACCTCTAGCACTCACAGGGCAATCATCTGAGTCTCTCAGCGCACCCCAAAAGTGAAAACGCCGAAGAGGCGACTTTGATTGCTCTTGGTGAGAAATTTCAGATCCCGAGTGAGTATGGTGGTAGAGGATAGCATAGCTCACAATAAAAACGAAAGGAGATCCGAGACTGAGACCCCAGGCTCAGCTCCATCAAGTGGCTCCTCTTACCGGTGCCTAGACTGGTGACAGCCTGCTAGAGCAGGGGAGGAAAGTGCCCTGGGCTGCTAGCTGTGTGACAGATGCCCCCTCGGGGGTCTGCATGGGGAGAGCTAGAAGAGGGACCCTGGAGGGAGGCCCTGGCACTCTGAAGTGACCAATTCTTTGCGTCAAGAAAGCCACTTTCGGTTTTGTGCCCCACCCCCACCCCCCTTCCCTCCCG